TCTGCGCAGAGACGAAATCGCTCGATCGCCCACCGATCGGCGCTACGTGGTTCTGGGGAGAGAGAGTCCCCAGGGGACCCAGCTCAGCAGCCAGGCGGCCTAAGCCTCTTTCTCCCTCTTTGTAACCTGCTGGGTCCTCAGGAAGGGCAGCGTTAGAAAGGCGCCTCCAGCCGGGCGCTGGCTCCGCTTCCCAGGGAATCTGAGCGGCCCCGAGATTCCTCTGGCCCAAGGGAGCCCGTCCTGCCAGGAACGCCAGGGCTGGGGAGAAGCCAGCTCCGCGGCAGGACCCCGGAGGGAATCCAGCCACGCCAGGAGGTGGCAGGGCAGCTGGGCTCCCAGCAGCAAGACGCCGTCAGCCCCGCACCGGTCCAGGCTCCTCAGGGAGCCAGAGAGGAGTCGGCCCAGCAGCAGGTGTCAGTAGGGTGACCAGACGTCCTGTTTATAAAGGGACAGTCCCGTCTTTCAGCCGCCTGCTGGGCTCCTCACTTTCTTATAAACGGGCAAATTGTCCCGTATTTTCTGTCTCCCCCCATTGGTGCTGGCCGGGTCCCTGCTTGCCAGCTGCCCGCCCACCAGCAGTGAGTGGGGGGGTCCGGTGGCTGACGATGGGGGTGGGTGTGCAAGGCTGGTGGGTGTGCAAGGTGGGATGAAGCTGCAGCAAGAGGGGCCGGCCCCTCCCCCTGCCGGTCCATCAGCCCCTGCTGTGGGCCGGCTCTTGGCCAGCAGGGCCCCGCCCCCCGGCCCGTTTCCGACCAGTGCTGGCTGCGAGCAGCGGTGGCTGGTGAGCGCTGGCAGGCGCCAGGCAGAGGCTGGCCATGTGTCGCCTCTGCTGCCGACCCATCGGCCCTTTATGTGCTCCCCTCTCGCTGCCCTCGCCCTGCTTCGCCCTGCTTCGCCCCCCCAGCCCTGCTGCTCCTCCATATCCCCCCGGCAGGACGTGTCCTGCTCCCAGCGCGTGCAGAGAACCAGCCCCTGGTCAGAGCGCTCAGCTCACCAACAGCCTGGCCGGCAGGTTCCTTCCTTCCCCCCACTGCCTCTGGCTGGGCCAGTGCCTGGGAAAGCCCAAGTCTTTCCGGCCCGTGGCGTTGGCCAGGAGGAGCCGAGCCCTGCATGTGCCAAAGCCCTGCACAGCGCTGGCATGGGGCAGCCTCTCCGCCCCTCAGCTAAGCTCGGGGGGGGGGGGCAGCGATTTCCAGCCTGTTCACGCCCTGAACTTGCTGGCTCCACAGCAGCCCCCTGGGGAGGGGCTTAGCCCCCTCTTCACCCCCTAGGCCCCCACCCTGGGTCCTGCCCCTGGGGAGCACGGGGCTGCTCCATCCCCTAGCCACCCTCCCCTGCTGAGCCACCCCTCTGGCCGGTTTGCTGACACCCCTGCAGCCAGGGGCCCTGGTGCACAATGTGTGTGTGTGGGCTCATCCTTCCCCCCTCCCCCCCGCCCACACACACACGTTGCCTTGGGAAGATATGGCGCCAGGAACCAGGAGAGGCAGGCAGGCATGGAGGGCAGAGAGCACCAGGCAGGGATGGTTGGATTGGTCGGTCACACATCTCCCCCTCCCGCCCCACGTGAGAGGTGTATCATAGACTATCAGGGCTGGAAGGGACCTCAGGAGGTATCTAGTCCAACCCCCTGCTCAAAGCAGGACCAATCCCCAACTAAATCATCCCAGCCAGGGCTTTGTCAAGCCTGACCTTAAAAACCTCTCAGGAAGGAGATTCCACCACCTCCCTAGGGAACCCATTCCAGTGCTTCACCACCCTCCTAGTGAAAAAGTTTTTCCTAATATCCAATCTAAACCTCCCCCTCTGCAACTTGAGTCCATTACTCCTTGTTCTGTCATCTGGTACCACTGAGAACAGTCTAGATCCAACCTCTTTGGAACCCCCTTTCAGGTAGTTGAAAGCAGCTATCAAGTATGCGAGTGTGTGTGTCACCTCTCCCTCTGTGTGTGGGTGGCGGGGTGGGGTGTGTGTGTGGCACCTCTCCCTCTGTGTGTGTGGGGGTGTGTGTGAGGGGGTGTCGGGGGGTGGCACCCCTACTGTGTGAACCCTGAAACCTTAAACCTTAA